AGAATTATTTTCTCTTTCTTTACAATCTTGGATATAAAATTGGAAGAAGAAGTTAGTATGAGATTTGTATGAATTCAATTGTGATCCGCAGATATTATATATTATTTTATTTGAAAATGTAAATATTAATTATTTAACTTAAAGTCGTTGCATATTGTAAGTTATTTATCAAAAAAAATGCAAATATTGTTTTTTTAGTTGTGTCCGTAATAAAGTGTATATTATTTTAATTATACGAAAACAAAGTATGGAGACTAACTGCAACTTTCTAATAGTTGATTTGGAATATGAAACTATAGTTGAAAATTAACGTTGACAGATTACACATCCATCTAGTTGTCATTTAGGGGAATCTAACTTGTGCTCTACACTTGCAGTATTTATGCGGTCAAGGAAACTCTCTGAAAGATGGTTTTCTAGACATATATAGACGTCCAAGACAACGTTGTTTTATTTTTGGGTGGCAACAAACTATTAAGTGGGGAGAATATGGTTGAAAACTTTCTACTCTGCTTCATTCGGTAGATGAAATACAATCTCAGCATACACAGTTATTCAATTATCAACCATGTAATAAAAAGAGCATAAGATTCTCGCTGCAAGACCTCTATACATAGCCACTACGACTACATGCTGACATGGAAAACTCTCCAACTGAAATCGACTACAAGTGCAAGTGTTATTAATCAAATCCACCATATATGTCATATAACGTGCACATCTCACGAAGAAGCGCAACTCAACCAATGATTTCACATTCAACTTTCTCGCAACTTTCTGTAGTCTAGAAGAGTTTATCCTCTTAAGTGGGGGCTAACATGCTAGTGCAGCAATTCTGTAATTCCACACGTCGGTCGTGAAACTACTACTATAGCTTGTTATGAATGTTTTCAAACATTGCGATGATTGGTAACACTCGATCCTTCTTAAATAATGCATTGAAAAGACTTCGTATTGTTCGTCGTCTTGAAAAATGTGACCACGTCCAATGTTCAATCACAATTTTTGTTTGAGAATCCTATACCAGGAATGATTTACTTTCTATTTTGATCATGAATATATTACATTCTTCAACGTTGTAAGCTCCTGTCGCTTTTCTAAACAATGAAACGATGTCTTTACCTAAATACTTAGTTTTCAGGTTGCCTTGTATATGATATATGCAATGCCTATAATGTGTCTCGTGAAAACTTCGACGGTACCATTTATTATAGATGGACCCCGATCAGTTACAAAGGTAAGGTCCACGACGTCCCAATTAGTTCCCTCAGTTTTGTGAAAAACCAACACATCGATAGATCGTTCTCGCTCTTAATATGCCGAATGTAATAGGGTAAATTTAGATGTTTACATCAACTTACTTTTGTATCTAGCTTTTTGAGTTGTACCTCCGATTAGAATTAGGGATCATATCCCATTTTGAAATTCCCAAATGCATTGTTCAAGTGCCTTGAAGAAAAACTTGAAGCAATTTTCGTTCTTCATCTCAATAAAATATGTTGAGCCAAAATTAGTTGTCCCCATGTTATGATAATACCAACTCAATTTAGTATAGCTCTCATCGATGAGCAGATTAAATCCTCCAACGCATATTTTTTGTCATTTTAGGCCTTTTAGTAGCTCATGACCACTCCATACTCTCGGTGGACGTTGTAAATGATGTTTGAAGGTCTGTATATCATCTGTAAGTCCTATACTTGTGTATTATCCGTCGACCAATAAACCATGCTCGGACTTGCCTGTGATCATTTCAATGAATTCCAATTCATAACTATGTTCTCGTGATACTTGTGAATTTTAAATAATTCATTCGTATCCATCTTCGTTACTTGCAAAAGTCAATGACAACTGTCATTGACATAGATAATTGTCAACAATGACTTGTTTGATTTTTTTATTTTGAACTCAAAGTTGGATTCAATGCAATCCGGTGTACAATTTTTTTTTGCAAATCTTTCTTTGTTTCATCATCAGAAACCGCACACGAAGAATTAAAGGACGGTCTACTTGGTCCAACCCCTGAGCTCCCATCCCTTGCATGTCTCTAACGAGATAAAGTAATCAAATCCTTATTTATAAATTCATTTTCATTCTCAATGTTGTGAACTATCGACGAAATTCTGTCCGTAACAACAAGATCACGATAAAGAACAACCACATCAGGAATAATCTCATCATCCTCACGAGCTATCTACATTCTGTACCAAAAATCATTGACATTATGATTCCCTCCATCCAAATCTTCGTGTTAACTTTCACGACATTTTTCCCCACTAAAGTCACATAAAGAGGACTCGTGTACATTTTGTTCAATTCTAATAGATAATCTACTTTAGCATTAGATGTAAACTTCATAGGTAGAATCGAAAATGGATGAATGCTCGTTGAATATAAATTTCAATTTCATATCGTACTGAAAATGATTGACTTTCAACTTGTTTTGTAAATCATGGTACATTTCGCATATGATGTAGTCGATGTTAAGAAATTGGAATGCCACTACGTATATCACTTGTCCATTTTCATACCATTGATCTTTTTTCATTCAATTCAAAATCAACAAAATAAAAAATCGAGATTACAATCACATTTGTATGATGAAAAATAATTTTTAACTATAAGAAAAAATAATAATCGAAAAATAAGTCTAACTCAACGGCGATAGAATTTTTAATTAAAAAAATAGTCAGATTAACTGTTAACAGTCAACTGTTAGGGCCGGTCAGTCGAGCTAGTAGTTAGCAATCAATCCAACCCCCTTTGTACATTGTCATGAATAGTGAATGAAAGAATATACATGCAAATGAATATTTTTTCTTGTTTATGCTTAAAAAATTATGGATATGTTAAAAAATTTTGGGTAGCGCTATTTCCATCCACACTTTTTATAAATACATCCACTTTTAAAAGAAAATTTTAGTATATTTTAAATCCTATGTAAATTTACTTAAATAGACAAAAACAAAATTAAATAAAAATACAAAACTCTAAATTGATCCACTAATTTTTACTTTCATTAAATTATCATATATCTTTTTTTTATTCTTTTAGAATTTGTGTTTAATTAGAATCCTAATAGATTAAAAAAATTACATGAATATAATTAGGGAAAATTAGGCAATACTCTAAAAAATTGACTAATTTGATCACTACCCTATTAACTGATGAAATCACATAATTAGCGTAATTAAAACATTCTAGAATTACAACACCACCCAATACTCAAATAAATAGTTTATATTCCAGAAAACTCTCAAGGAGAGATTCTCCTCACCTACTACTCTACTTCTTCTTATCACATTCTAGAATTGCACCATATTTTTTCTAGTTGCCTTGGAAGTGTGAGGCGGAGTGCCACACCTAGGGATGGCAATTGGACTCGTCGGCTCGGCTCGAAAAAAGTTCAAGCTAGCTCGGCTCGAGGCTCGAGTTGAGCCCCAATCTGGGTTCCCAGGCCAAGCTCGAGCCGGCCCGTATGGCTCGACGGCTCGGCTCATGGGCCTTTATATTATTATAAAAAAAAAGAATTTTTTTTAATAGGTAGCAGCGTGCTGCCATTTTCCTAAGGCAGCAGCTTGCTGCCTTAAAATAAAGCAACAGGCTACTGCCTATATTAATATTATATATATAATAAAAAAAAGAGCGAGCCTGCCCAGCTCGGCCCGGAAAGGTCCGAGCTGAAAGTTCGAGTCGAGCCTATTTTTTTTACAGAGCTTTTGCTCTGCTCGGGCCCGAAAAAAAGTTTGGACATTTTATTCGAGTCGAGCCCCAGCCAAAAATTTCGACTCGCGAGCTGGCTCGACTCATTGACATCCCTAGCCACACCTATGAAAAGTGCGAATATGAGCTTTTTATGGAGAGAATGCTCCAGATGCAGAAGATCCGTGAGCAAGAAGCCAAGATGAAGGGCTCCGAGAAAGGCTAGTTGCCCATTCCTTTCATTCCCAAAATAGCCAATGTTTAACTCTGAAAGATTCTGTTAATCAAAATAATGCATCATTTGGACCTTCGTTGAATTCAAGTTCTTCAAAACTAGGATGTTTACGGAAATTTTTAGGAAGAAGCTAAACTGTGGGCAATGGTAGTCATCTGAGGACTTGATTTGAAATTGTTTTAGTGTTATGTAAACATGAGTACTAAACTATTCTCACTTTCCCCTGGTAATTTAGTTCCAAATAAATTTTACACATTTGATGTCTGTTTTATTTCATGTTTTCCCAAAAAAACTGCTGATGTTTTTGTTTCTTCACAAGTGATTATTAGTTCAATTTTTATATAAGTTCATGATAAATTCGTAATTTTGTCAAGGCTAGATAATGTCGTTACTAATAGGATGAATGATGCGTTGTGAATATTTGCATTCTAGTACGAATTTTCCTTACAGATTCTAAAAAGAAAAAAAAATGAATACACAGTGTTAAGGATGTATTTAAAATGGAATAAATATACAAAATTTATGTGGATATATGTTATTTAATTGAATGAATTTAGTAAGGACAAGATTGGAATATAACGTGGATGTAAATAGTATTTTTTTAAAATTTTAAAATTTTATTAGGGATGAACCTAGAGTGGAATGTATTTATAAAAATTGTAGATGAAAATAGCGCTACCTAAATTTTATCAACATGTTAATCTATATCGAAATAAGATTTATTGATTAAAAGAATATACTAATTTAACGAAAATAAAACTAACCATACATAAATATACTTATCGTTTCGAAGTGATAAATATATAAAAAAAATTTGTTTAGCATTTGATAAATTTGTGAGATTTTGGGGTTGAAGAAGATGAAAAATGAGAGAGTTTTTATTTGTGTTAGAATAAATAAATAAGAAAAGTTGGCAAATTTTGAAATTTTAAGTGTGAATTATTAGATTTTTATTTGTTAACTAAAAGGGTATGAATTTTTAAACAAAATAATATTTCGAGTGACAAGGTCAGTTTAAAAATATGCAATTGTTGAAAATTCGAGTAAAAGTGAGGGGATTTGACTAAGCCAATAAAAATGCAGTCACCATCACTTTCACGAAAACCTACACATCAGAAAATTTCGGATCACCAGCAACAAATAGAAAAATCTTTAGGTTATTGAATGATTATTTCTCATTTTCTTTTCCTTCAATCGTAGAATTTTGCAATGGGCGCAAGTCGGAAGTTACAGGGCGAGATCGATCGCGTTCTCAAGAAGGTCCAAGAAGGCGTCGATGTCTTTGATAGTATTTGGAACAAGGTCCTTCTCTTTCTTACCCTCTCTATATTCTGATTTTATTTGATTTTTATAATTGTTTGGTACTTTCAATTTTTTCCTTGTTTTCAGGTTTACGATACGGACAATGCGAACCAGAAGGAGAAATTCGAGGCGGACTTGAAGAAGGAAATAAAGAAGCTTCAGAGGTATAGAGACCAGATTAAGACATGGATTCAGTCCAGTGAGATCAAGGATAAGAAGGTCTCCTCTCGTCTTTTATTAGTTCTTTGTCTGCTGACTCTGTTTCTTCATTTTTCTTCTAGAACCATAAAATCATTTTGTCTGATTTGTTGCTTTATTTATTTTTCTATTTAATTTGATTTTTTTCAGGGCATGTTTCTATTGGCATTATGTGTCACTTGCTTAGTTCCTTTTCTTAGGCGTCAATCGCACAAGGTGTATTTGGTGTCATAGAATTAGTCCATGTACTGGAAAGTGTTTTTGAGCTTCATAACTGCTGCTGCATTTTTCAATTTTCAATTTATTTTTTGCTGATAGAGGGCGGTGTCATTCTTTTTACATACAGTTAGTGTTTTCTGGAAACTAAATTTAAAGATTAAAGATCATTACTGCATGTTCACAAAGGAAGATGTATCGTATACACAGTTTGTAAATAATGTTTCTAAGATTCTGCATGCTATGATTTATTATATTCTGTAATATAACGTACTTTATTTGGGCAACCTGTTGGTATATGCTGTTGATATACTTTATCTGCATTACGCTTTCTTTCATAATGATATTTCTACGTTTTGTTTAGAGATTATTCTGGATCTGAACCCTTATTTTTCCCTGCGCCTACTGTAATTTTGAAGATATATTGTTTTATAGCTGTTTATTACCCATCTTTCTCAAATCAGTTTCACCTTTTACTTTTATGAACTTTGAGCCTATGCATTTAATGATATTTTTAATTTAAAGTTGACTTTATTATTGTGGTGTTACCTTTTACTTGGCAGATCGTACTTTTAGGGTAGAACTGAAATTTTGAAACACAAAAATTTACATTTTCAGCATAGGGTACTCAGCTTGGCAGGTGGGTGTCCACAGTTTGCACACATTGCAGGTGCTGTCAACAATTTGCATTAAATCGGTAGCTGCTTTCATGGTCTGAATCATGATGGCACTATTGCATGTTTGGGTGGGCATATTCTAAAAAATAAGCTGGTCAAACATACTTATAAGTTCCAAAGATTGAAATGGCAGGCTTATCTTATAGCCGAAAGATGGAAAATAATAAACACCATGGTTCATGCTTATCTGACTTTTTTAAGGTGACCAGTCGATGTACCATTTTTGAAATTACAATATACTCCACCCTTCATATTCTAATATCATCACTTCGGTAATTCGTTATATTGATTTTTCTTAAAATTAAGTAGATTGCAAAACATAAATGTGCT